CATTATATAAAATGTGATAGACTCAAATTCTATTATTACAAAAGTCTGTTACAGTTTTTTATAAAAGAGCAGAATTTTGCTCTTTGCAAAATACATACTTAAAATACAGTAATAAAAGGGATTTGAAAATAAAAGAACCATAAAAACCAAAACCAAACAAAACATTGGAAATGCATAGAAAGACATCAAGAGAGGAAATATTAATGGCAGACAAAGTGGAATAGAAGGATAAAAGCACCCAATAGGATAAGGACAGACATTATAAATTGATTAAATGCACTGTTTTTAGCAAATAAAATAAGAAACTAAATATACAAACAAAACTTTTAGGATTACAAGGGGACATTTTATTTCTATGAAAAAAAATAATGAAAGAACATGATAAAAATACAATTGTACTGAATTTTTCAGTATATTTCCAAGAATTCGAATAATTTAATAGACTCCCCCCACAAAAGCTATAGAGAGGATATAGAGGAAACGAATAATGCAATTTATAAACTTGATTTAACATATTAATATAGAACATTTTATTTCTTGAATAGGATATATAAAAACATGTTCCCACAGAATATTTCCAAAAATCAATCATGTGCTAGGCAAAAAGAAAACCTTAACAAATTCAAAGTAGAGAGCTTACACATTATGTTCTCTCATTACAGTCCAATAAAGTTAACTGGAAGTTAAGAAACACACAATGAGATAAGCCTGGTATGAAAGAGAAAATTAAAGAATTGTTTTAGTCTCTCTGGGCTGTTATAACAAAATATCACAGATTGAGTAGCTTATAAACAACAAAAATTTATTTCTCACAGTTCTGGAAGCTGGAAGTCTAATATCACTTCTGGTGAGGGTTTTATTCCTGGTTCATAGCAGGCACTTTCTCATTGTGTCCTCACATGGTGGAAGGGACTAAGGATCTTTCTAGGACTCTTTTTATAAAGGCACTAATCTCATTCATGAGGGATTCACCCTCATAACTTTAGCACATCCCAAAGGCTCCACCTCCTAATACCATTATCTTTGGGGATTAAGATTTTAACATATGAATTTGGGAGGGGACATAAATGTTCATACCACAGAAGCAATGGAAAAACAAACAATTTGTACTAAAATAATGGGGAACAGCAAAGCTGAACTTAGAGGAAAATGTGTTGCCCTTAAGTATGGAAGCAGAAATGTAAAAATAAAAGAATTAAGTACTTATCTTAATGAATCCAGATAAGAACATCAATAAAAGCAAAACAAAAGAAACTTTGAAGAGAGAATTAATATTGATAAAAGCTGAAATTATTAAAATAGATGAAATAGCAGAAAAGAATAATAAATTCAAAGATTGATTCTTTAAAAAGACCAATAAAATAGATAAATACAATGTGAGCCTGATAAGAAAAGAGAATGCAATAAAAATTAGACAAGATTAATAATGTGAAAGTAGAAAGAACTTAAAAGAATTCCAAGTAAATACAGTGACTCTAAAGCAGTATTAAAAGAACAAGAACCTAGAAGAAATGAATACTTTCCTAGGAAAATATACATGATCACAAATGAGATAGAGGTGAAAACTTGAATAGACCAATTATTACAGAAAAGATTGGAAAAGTGATAAATGATCTCCTATCAAAAAAGGCAGCAGGCAGATGGATTCACAGGTGAATTTTTAATCTAACCATTAAAGAATAGATAATTCCAATATTATTTAAACTATTGTGGGTCTTAGAAAAGGACTGAAAGTTCTCCGGTTAGTTTTATGTCTCATAAATACTGGAGTACCTCCAATACTGATGCCAAAGAAGGAATGCAACAACAACAAAAGTGCAGGCCATTTCACCTATGACTATAAATGCCAAATGTTTAAATAATATATTAGAGAACATAATAGAGGAGTGAATCAAGTGAGTGATACACTATGACAAAACAGTCTTTTATTAGAGAAATGAAAGGGCAGTTCAATTCCATGAAGTCTACCTACATATTGATTACATTAAAAATTAAAGGGAAAAATCCCAACCATTATCAATAGGTGGTGAAAAGGCATCAGACAAAGGTCAAGCAACCAATGCCAAGGGAAACTTGAAGCAAAATAGGAATAGAAGGAAATTACTTACAATAAAGAGAAGCCCACAAATAAACATTATCTTAAATGGCAAAAAATATATCTTTCACTTAAAATCAGGAATCAGACAGACATCACTGTAATCACTTGTATTGGTGATCCTAGCAAATGTAAGTAAAATAACTAGTATAAATAATGGAAAAGGAGATAAAGTTCCTGATGATGATGACTGTTTATTTAGAAAACCCAAAAGACTCTCATGAAAAAGCAAGTTAGAAGAGAAGCTGGTGTGTTGAATACAAAATAAATTACAGAAGTAACCAGTCTAGCTCTGTTCATGCAAAAGCACCTAAAAAAAGAAATGGGAAGAATATTTTACTCAAAGGACAAATGCTAGAAAATAATTTGGTGTAAGTTTAGTAGGTGCAGAACATATATGAACAAAACTACGAAAATATTCTTGGGAAATGCATGACAAAATATAAGCAAATGGAAAAGTCCATTATCATCTTGGATGGAATGACTTATTGTTACAGATATGTCAATTCTCCAAAAATTAATGCATAAATTTACACTGTGCTAATTGGACTCTTTTTTCTTGCACGAAAAATACCATATAATAATTGAAAAGAGTCTTAAGTTCCAGATATCTACATATAATAGTAATTGTGAGTGAGTATAATAATCTTTAACTTAAGGCTTTTTGAAGAATTTTCAGAATGATCAAAACAATACTGAAAAAGACTCTAAACAATTTAATAAATACACTTCAGTACAAGAAATGTGAAATTATATATAGTAGGTTTTAAATACTAGTCTCCCATTTCCTTCTCAATAATTGGTAGGGTTAAGGGTCGAGTCTAGGAGACTGGATGTTTTTGTGAGCCCCAAGCTGTTCTTGTTTGTATGGACTGGTCAAACTTGGTTGTGCATTAGAATCACCTATGGTGCTTCATAAAAGTAGAGATTCTAGGGTCTCACCCAGGAGTTCCTGCAATCAGAATCTGTAGCAAAAGTGTAGAAATCACTGGCTAAGTCTATACTGCAATGGTCACTTCTTGTTTCAGGGTTTCTATTCCGAGCACGGAAACCTAACGGTTACCCAATGTTCCACTGAAACAGTCCATAGAAAAGGGTACAGTGTTTCCACTGGGAGGACTCTCATTTAAATCCTCTTTGTGAGAAATGATTCATTTCCTTTTAAGTATGAGAGTTGAAAATCGATTACAAAAAAGAAAATAGATTTCCCATGGTAGACAAACATACGATGTGAAACTTGCTTTCTGTGTAGCAGGAGGCAGTAAAAGTATGTAGACAGTAACGTCATGTATTGGTTTGAGTTTGAAACCTGGCTTTGCTTTTTTCCAGCTGTGTTACCTTTGACAAATTAACCTTTAAGTATCTTCATCTAAAAAATGAGGATGAAAATAGTGCTTCATAGGATAATAGTACTTACTTTAAAAATAATAATGATTTAAAAAGTGTTAGCTAAAAGCAAATAAACAGAAATAATGATCTCAGGGGACCTGTAGGGTGGCCGCGGCTGTGGGGACTTGAAGTGGCATCTCCGTTCCCCGACCAGGGATTGAACCTGGATGGCGGCACTGCTTTGGGTCTCGGCCCCTTTGGGAAAGAATTTCAACAAAGAGATGGAAAATAGCCAAGCAGGTAAAGTGCTTATTAAGAGAGGAATACGTGCGGATAGACACATGGGTGGGCTCAGTAAGAGTTGTACCTTTGGGAAGTTTAGATCATTTATAAGGGGGCAGTCTTCCAGGTCTTTGTTTTCCTCTGGCCAATTGTCTTGCTTTGACCCTGTACCTGATTTGTCTCAGGGTCCTCCCTATGTGCACGTGCGTCCTTTAGCCAAGATGGATTTCAACTTGAGGGTCTCTGGGAAGTTAGCAAAGCTTATTGTGGTCTGGTGCCCCCTCTCCTGAGGAAACTTTCTGTGCATGTGTAATTTGGGGCGTCTCCCTGACCCCAACAATGAGAAAGATGTGACTTCCTTATCTTTTATCCAAGCAGGGCTTAGCCCCTCTCTGCCTCTGCCATTACTGTTATCTTAAAGTGTTCACAGGAGACAAAGTCCAGCTATTCATCCTATTCCTGTTGTTATTTCTATCTGAAGTATAAATAGGAGGCTAGTTGTAAATTCTACAACTGGAACCCATTTATCTCCTGCCTCAATTACGCTAGTAAATACTGTCCTCAGCAAGAGTAGCTTGGAAGGTTAATGTCACCATACACCTTAGTATGGGGCCAACACATAGTAGGTACTTAATATTCTTGAATCAAGTTTCAACATGGTGTGGCTCACACTGTACTTTTATCAAAGGCATTAAGTATTTTCTTTCTCTCTAGCTCTCATTTTATTAATATAATTTTAAGTGTAATATCATTTGAACATCCCCAGGTGATTCTGGTTTGTGAATACAAATGAATTCACCTTAATATCACTGCCTAAATAAGTTTTATCAATCACCTCCCTCTACCCGGGCTCCACCACTTAGGACTGGAAATCTTCAGTTGTTTCTCTCAGATGCTCAGGAAGAATTCCACTCCTGTTCTACTGGTCTGTGCTCCTCATCAAGTTATCTTGACCCTGGATTGGGCACTAGTGTCCTTTATGAGAATATGCCTTCTCTGGGTAGAGCCCTTCCTTACTGGTGACAAGGTACACAGAGGTCTGTGGCAGATTGGGTTGAGAGAATGACCCTCTCTCCAGTTCTGTGCTATACTTTGTCACCAGAGCCCAAAGTAATACTTCTTAAATCTGAAATCCCACAGTCATTTGCAAAAATGATTCCTCAGTCTCTGGCCCTAAGTTATTTCCCCAAAGGGCTTAAAACCCTTCAAAGACTCTGTGGGAGAGCAGGGAATGCAGGCACAACATCAGTCCCTCCATTCCTTTCGACAGTTTCCCAAGGCATCTGGCACAAAATTTCTCCATCCTTCTTTATTCAGAAACACATGGTCCAAGATCATCAATGTATACGAACAGATGGCTGGAGCTGTCGCCAAGTCCATCAGGTTTATAGATGATAATGTTCTAAATCCCAGTTTGGTCTCAGGTGGCCCACCAAAGACCTTATGCTCCTTGCTTATATCTCTGTCAACCAGACAGAGAATTCTAATTCAAAAGGCATCTTGTCTACCTCAGTTCTGTTCCTTTGTTGTCTCCTTTGAAAGTGAAACATCTGTGCGTGGAGAGAAGAATCACACATTTCCGAGGCAGAGGCCATCCTGGCCCTGAGTCACAGCTGCCTGGCTTCACTGAGGATCTAGTGCCCCGGCTTCTCAGCAACGTGGAGCTCAGGGCATTTCTGTTGCGCTGGTACTGATGTACGAACATCTATAACAAAAGTTAACATCATAACAATGGCACAACATAAGGTTAACAATTTAATTTCTTAATTTTCAGAAAGCTTCTTTAAGGTGATATGAAAGTTGTTAATGCCCTGTTAACTTCTTTAAATTCTAGTAAGGTATATAAGGAGGTATATAATGACATTAGGCTCATTAAAAAACTTTTTCTCCTACCTGGGATTGGAAGAATAATAGCGTAAAGTGTAATAGAGTAACAATTGTTTAAGTGTTGTCTAAAATGCCATATAGTGATTAACAAAAAAATAGTGAAGAATTCCTCCTCACCTTCACATGACTTTAATCATGCGTTTTTGAAATAGATGTTTTCAGTCTAGTTCTGGATGAAGTCCAGCTTCTTTCTGATCCTTATTCCTAATCTCAGGGTGACGTCCAATTTAGATACTGAAGTGTTCCTTTCTCCACTATGAAACCTAGTTTTCACAAGGGAAGGATAAACAAACTCATGTTCAAGTGCCAATCATGGGTGGGATAAGGCTTAGCCTGTGTTTCCCAGAGGCATTCTAGTGGAAAGGCGTTAGTCAAAAACTCCAGGTTGCAATGCCTGGTCTGCCACTCATTCTATGATATGTGAACCCAGCACAACAAACTCTGAGGCCAGTTTCTCTTTTTTAAAAATAGCAGCTATATGGGGACTTCCCTGGCAGTCCAGTGGTTAAGACCTCATGCTTCCACTGCAGGGGCCACAGGTTGATCCCTGGTTGGGAAACTAAAATCCCTCATGCCCTGTGTTTGGTCCATAGCTGGTACTCAATTTACGTTAAAAAGTCTTGTTAATTTACTCAAAAGAGAACAAAGCCTTAATCCAGAGAAAACGGCTTTTAACTGTGGAATTTCATATTGAGGAGAATCTGGTGGGCCTTTTTTTGGTCTCCCTTAAATCATATTTTATAGGTAGTTGCCAACTCTGTTCTTTTTTTTTCTTTCTATAAGGAGAACAATACACTTGTCTCCATCTCCACCATGGTCTGACAGGAACTTGTTTCAGCCTGGTTGTGTCAGGGGCAGGGACCACAAAAGTGCTTTCACTAAAGTCTAAGGGATGTCACGTGTGGGGCGTCTCTTTCCAGTTACATAAAGTTCACTTCATATGAAGACACGATTCCCTCCCCATTCCCAAGACACTTATCTGTAAAATGGTGCACAATGACCCTCAAATAGTTGTGCATTTCTTTAATCATCTTGTATAGATCTATATGTTAAAGCGGTTTCCTAAATCTACATTTTCCATCTGCTGTGGTTCAACCTTTGCGGAGGAAAGGAAAACGGATATCAGACTGTCGCTCACTTCTCCGTAACTACAAAGCACCTACAGGATGGGGGCACCACTTGATTTTATTTTCTAACTTTCAAGCTGGCTTTGGATAAATACCCTTTTATTTTTTGCTCCACAGAGATGCTTGGATAAAAGATCTGAAGAGTCCCTTCAAGTGCTCCAGACGGCCCGCTCTGTTTGGTGGTAATACATCAGTGGTGAGCTCTGCAGCAGGACTGGCGCCCCGGGGGCCCGCGCTGGAGCAGCAGGGGCACGGAGGCAGGGCTCCGGGCCAGCGCCCTTTCACATCTCCTTAGGAGGGGACACCGCCCAGGCGCCCGCGTTGCTAGGTCTTCTGTTTGCCGGCTTCTAAAAGAACCCAGAGCGGGACCAAAGCAAACCGGGAGGGGGGCCGGAAAAGCTAAAGCGCCTTCTCAGTCGTCAGTAGGGAAAAGCGGTCGCTCCTCGGTTGGCCCTTCCCGCCCGTAGCCATCCCGGAGAGGGGCGGGGTGCTGAGACGCCCCCTCGTCCTTGGTTCCTCCCAACCGTCGCCGGCCCCGGCGCCCTCGCTCCCGCTCCGCCGCGCACGTCGCGCACCCCCGGTCGCCGCCCGCGAATGGTCTGGCCCGTCGGTAGCCACCACCCCTTTGGCAACGACCCCTGTTCCAGCTGCTTCGGGTCGAGCGCCGGCGCCCAGAGCTGTGGCTGCCGCGGGCGGTGGGTGGGTGGGCGGGCGGAGGGGAGCAGCCGACATTCAGCGCGGGCTGCCGGGCCCGGGGCAGCTGCGGTGGGAAGCCGAGGCGCGCGGGAGCCGTGGAGGGACCGTCCGCAGCCCGGAGGCGAGGACCCGGGCTGGGTTTTCCTTACTCCGGTGAGTACCTGCTGCCCCGATCCTCCCTGACCCCCTTTCCCTGTCCCCACGCCCCCGAGGTGTCGGTCCCCCCCCGGACGGTCACTGCTCCGCGGACACTGGCCCCCGCGGGAGCAGCGGCACGGGGAGCTGCTGCTGTTGGTGCTAATGATTCAGCACCATTCGCGCCCTGAGAGATTTGGGCAGAATGGGGGACGGTGGGGCGGCGAGGTCAGTTGCTGCTCTCTCCTCAGCTTCTGGGTTCCAGATGAACGACCCCGGCGGGCGAGGTCGGGTGGGGGGAGCTAGGAGGCTCCCTGCTGGCTTGTTCTGTGATTCTGTCCTTTTCCCACATCACGGTACAGACCTCCGTGAGTGTGCGGTGCAGTATTCAGTGTGTCTTTTTCGCACAGGCGAGTGAAGTCTAGGGCCCTTTTCTACACCTGTCATTTTTTCTACTTCTTCCTCGGTTGGATGCCCAATTCGTGCCATCATTCGTGCAACTTGACATCGCGTTGCATCCCCCGCAAACGTGTGAGAAAGATGCTGTATCCAAGCTGTCTTGTATTCAGAGTGGGTTTGATTGGTCTTGACATAGTAGGAAAAGATTTAAGGGAGGTAGGAAATAATACTTTCAGAGCCTAGGCACTTTATGTATACATACATATATATATATATAAATAATTTCATTAAATCACAACAACTCAGAACCAAATGTACAAAGTGAAAAGCGGGGAAGTTAAATTACGTGCTCAAGGTCACAGCATAGGTATTTGGATATGAGATGCCCTGATCCCAAAGCCCACGAACCTTCCACTGTATTAAGGAGTTGTGTATCCAAGTGTGTCCAAGTTATATGTACAAGTATATGATTTATTACATATTAAACATAGTATTAATTTTCATAGAAGTAATCTCAAACAACAGCAACAACCTGTAAACTTCCTGTGTATGGAATTATCATTCTTTTAGTGTAAAAGTAGGAGCATTCTTTGAATTATATGAAAAAATATACTATTTTCTTAGAAAGCATATGCCAAAATGTAGTATCTTGACCACACTGCATAGGAGAGCTAGGTCATAACAGGAGCTGTTCAACACTTTTTTGGCAGTGATAGATGGTGAATGCTTTGTGCTTTGGCATAGCAGGTGATAGCTCCATTTTACAGACGAAGGAACTGAAATACAGAGAAGGTTCAAGATTACACAGCTAGCTAGTGGTGGAATCTGGACAAGCATTGACTCTTACACAAAACATGTGTTGTAGCAAAGTGTAGCTCTGTATAGTGGGAGACTGTATTGATTTGTTTTTACCCTGCCCTTCAGAGTCAACAGTTATATTGACCTTGTATGCTCTTTCTATAAAAATAATGGATGCTAGGTTTTTCTTTGTTCCTTGCTTGGCCATTTGATTTGCTTTCATTTACGATTTATGTATTTTCTCTTAAGATATGCAACTCTTGTTGATGTTTCAGGAAGCAGGTTGCTATAGTACAAATGCTCATTATCTCCAAGTACTGGACTAGTATATGAGGGCAGATAGGATCATAGTCATCTTCGTCCATCATTTCTAAAGTATTTAACCATTTGCATTGGAGAATTCTTTTTTGAGTTGATGAGGATATTGATAGACTAAAGGGATAAAATGGAGGCACAAATTTACATTTGTTGTTCAGACAAGGCTGTTAAGAGAAGTAGGGTCTTGAGATGAGTCTTAAGTTTGATTTCTAGGAGGTCATTTCTTTTGTTCTTTATATGGCTATAGACCATACCCTGACCTCAGTGAGGCCTCTTGTGGTCCAATCTGTTTAATCCCAAAGGAGACAGCAGAATTGGTATAAATGAATAAGCAAAAATACAATCCCACTGCTATTTAAAAAAAAAGGAAAGTGCATGTTCTAGCGTTGGAGGGTCAGTAGGAACATTTTAAAACAGATGCAATACACTTTATTTAGATAACATCACTGAGTATGAATATAATACCAACTTGGCTTTGGAACTGTATTCTCTCTCTCTCTTCCCTTTGTGTGTGTGTGTGTTTGTCAAATGACTACTATCTGCAGACCATCTAAATTCTAAAAGTCTAGCTGGGGAAACTAAAAGTCTAGCTGGGAAAATATTTACCTACATATGAGCGATTAACCAAATAGGTAGAATTGGCTTAATACCAGAAAAATGTAGTGCAGACTTAAGTGCCATATGAACACCTTAAGAAGAAGGAGAAATAGTAATGGCTAGGGCCATAAGAGGATCAGGAAAGTCTTCATGGATGGAAGTGTATTAAATCACTCTCTGAGAGATGGGAAGGCTTTTAGTAGGAAAGAGAAAGCCAGATGAAGAAGTTCAGCAGAGAAGTGGTCATGTACTGTTTGGATGCATGATGACAAATTATGAGGAACTGCGTATCAGGCAGTGAAATCTGCTCCTTATTGGGTAATCATAGGGAACTAGTATAGGTGACTGAGCAAGCCAAGTTTCTCTTTGGCTTGTCTTGCTCCATATTCCTTGTTCCAAGTGCTGTTTGAGAAAATGTTATATTTCCTGGGTACTGATATTAAAAGTACTAACCCAGAAAGTTTTCTATGCAAGTAAGATTTTTCCTCTTCCAAGGAGGTTTGCCTTTTTAAAAGCTTTCCCCCTTTCATTATAGTATTACAAACAATTTGGAAACTAAGAATATATTAAAAAAATCACCGTAATCTTACTAACTGAAGACAACCACTATTAACATACTGATGTGTTTCCTTCCACTCTTTTTTCCGCACATAGTTTTAATCATGCTGTGTATATTACTTTTTATACATTTTTACTTTAAATTTTATAACAGTAATTTTCACTTAATTACAATTTGACAGTGAACATTTAAAATGCCTACATAAGTTTCCATGAGGTAGATGTGCCATAAATTCCTAATCACTCCTCATTGGCACTGTATTTTTAAAAAAAATTTTATTGCAGTATAATTGATTTACAATGTTGTGTTAGTTTCAGGTATACAGCAAAGTGAATCTGTTATACAAATACATAGCCATTGTATAATAAATAACACTGTGATGAACATCTTTGTTCATAAGCTCTTTTCTAAATTTTAGAAATTAGTTCCTTAGGATAGAGTCTCAGAAATAAAAGTTCTGGATTAAAAGGTATGAGTTCCTGTTTGACTTTTTTTAAAAAAATTGAGCTATAATTGGTATATAACATTTTATTAGTTTTGGGTATATAACGTAATGATTTAATATTTGTATATGTTGCAAAATGATCACCACAGTAAGTCTAGTTAACATCCATTACTACACATAGTTACAGGTTTTTTTTGTGATGCTTACTTTGACTAAATTTTATGCAAGTTTTAAAACTCTACTGGATTCTGTATTCTTTGGAGCATTAGCATATTAAGTACAGGATATTTGCATGTTAATAATTAATAACACTCCTGTCTGTGACTCCTCAGATTATACTGTTTCAGGCAAACTTGTCTTTTGATTAGAAAGATTAGTTAAATCATGGATACTGGGAGAAAGGCAGGCAGTTGGGGCCACTGAAGAGAGAAGATGTAAATAATGGAGGACAGGTTTGGTGAGAGTGAGCAAGAGTTTGTAGCCAGAGAAGGGGCTTGTGTGATAGACTACTTTCTGGTCCTGGTGTTGTATTTGTGGACGTCAACTCTCTCCTTTACCGTGCTCTTCCCTCAGGAATCCACCCCTATCCTCCACACAATATCTGTCTCTTTCAAACTTCTTCCACCCTTCTGTATCAGGTTCCCAGGTCTCAGCTGCAGTATCCCAGCAGTGCAAGGCTTATGAACTCACTATCGCGTTCTAATTTGGAGAATCCACATAGGTAAGCGCAGGAATTCCAGACCTCCTTCAGTTCTCAGCAGAAGCCCAGGTTACATGGTGCAAGAGTGTCTGGTGGACGTTGAAGACTCTCGCCCTCTCCACCGTGCACATTGCCAGAGATGGCCTTTGAGAACAGCAGCCGCTGGGGAGTCGCCTAAGGTTTCCAACATCCCCTGCTGGCATTCGGGTGTCCCCTCCTCTCGTTCCCAGTATTTCTCGACCAGAGGAAATTCCCCTCATTGAGGAGAGACAGTGTGCTTCAGTGTCCCACCAGTTGTAGGGTTACATGACGCTACCTCCTTGGACAGGTACATTGGCCAGGCCTCTGCCTTGCTTCCCCAGGCTCTCACCTGGGTTTCCTCTGGATCCCACCCCCATTCTCCTTGGAATTTGAGGCCAGGGAGCCACTGAGGCAGGGAGGCCATGAAGTGTCTCTGAGAACCAGTGGAAGGGGAGTTAGGGATACGAAAGTGCCTCGAGGGCACAAGTAGTTAGCAGAGAGGCAGGCACTTGGAATATATCATCAGTTTGGGAAGATGTGAAAGGAAACAATGAAAACTGAAGCATCACTTTACAAACCAAAAATAGGCCCCGTCTTTTTAGGACCTGACAGATGATTTCTGGTGGAAATTGGGCACTGAGGTAGGCTGAGTAATATTCTGGGCAGAATTTGTCGTGTGCTTAGTTGGGACCTACTATTTAAAACAGTTTGCTTAAGCTATTAGAAGGTGGTAAGTCTATTTCCATTCCTCCCAGGCATTATTTGTCAAAGTTCAACTGGGCTTAGTCAACAGTTTTCCCTAGGGTTAAGTTAAAGCTAAAAACTTAAATTATTTATTATTATTATTTATTCTCCACTACCTTTGTTTCGTTAGTTCCCATTTGACATTTACCTGACACGTTCCCACCCATGGTATACATGATAGTTGACAAAGCCAAGGTGTTGGGTTGTTTAGGCTCTGGGAGTTGAGTGATAAATCCAATTTTCTCTTTTTTCTTTCACTTCTTACTTGTAAGCAACTAGTTGGACTGTGTTTCTTTGACTTCTTTGAAGGTTTAGAGTTAGGTGGTCAAGTGGTCACTGCGTCTCCCCTGGGGCTGATTACTCCTTTCTTTTGAAATTGATGATATTTTTGGTCCAATGGGCATGCTGAACTGTCCACATTGTTTGGTTTTTCTAAA